ATCACCTTCTGTCGACGGGAGTTGCGTTGGCAGAGATGTAGGTTGAAAGCTTGGTTGAGGCATGAATGTGGATTGACCAGTTGGCATTTGCTGTGCGGCCGTTGGGCGACACTGTTCAGGCCATACACACTGCTTCATGATAGAATCATAAACAAGTTTTGATGGACAATAACGTATGTGCGCAATACCGCCTATGCAAGTAATATATCGAGAGGCACATCCCAATGAGTAGTCACCATCTGAATGGTGAGCACAGTCGAAAGCAACGTCTGAAACTTTTTGTCATTTGTGAATAATACAAGAGTATGATTGAAATGTGACGATTGTGTAACACCAATCAATTACTGCGACCAAGAGAACAATGTTCATAAGATGTGAAAAAAAACTTACCGTTTGCATGTGAAGGTGATGAATCCACCATTGCTGACGCATCCATTGGTCCAGCAGATGCCGTTGGCTGAGTGGTTGCAAATGGACGTGGCGCTATGACGGACATACAAGTATCGCTTGGGTATTCACACTGTCTTGACAACGCATCGAAAAGTAGTCCAGATGGACATTTGAATATCTTCGCTTTTGAATTTGAACATTCAGCGAACACTGTTGAACATGATCCACCATAGAGCCCATCAGGTAAATAAGAACAATCCATTGAACCTTAAAATATTCACAAAAATGCAGAGCCATTTCCTCTGGAGCAGAAAAAGAACACAAGAACTAAGAACTTCGATAACAATTTTGAGTTACTTTCGGAAACATCACACGAAAGTCAAATAACAATCAGAATAAAGAATTCCAACTTTGTTGAGTAGTCGTTAGCGGCGTTTCTGTGGTCACGCTGACAGGCGATAGCTGATCAGAGGATGGAGTACCTTCACTTTCAACACACTCTTGAGGCCATACGCAGAAACGTCTCCTCTCAGAGAAGACGAGACCTTGAGGGCAAAAGCGTCTTATCAACGTGCCACTTAAGCACGTAACGTATTCAGTAAAACAACCCAACGAGTAATCCCCTGTCGGCAATTTACTGCAATCCACTGCAGATCCTATAAACGTAATTCATTTAAATATATGAACAGATCATTTACAATCTCATAGATAGTCACAAGAATAGCACAGTCCGACATTAAGGTTGAATTTTGCGAGCTGTTGCAATTGATAACGGATATGCATAAAATTACCAGGCACAGAGTGTGGTTCAGTCTGTGGTGTTTGTGTAGTCTCAATCAAAGATTTCACTGTAGGTTCCAATGAAATTATCGAACTCGATGCTTGATTCTGACACTGAAGCTTCGGGAAATCGCATTTTGAAGACTGGTCATCGAAAACGAGGCCGTTTGGACAAACCATAACGAACGGTTTGCCATTAGAGCATTGCATGAATGTTGGAGAGCAATGCACACCATAAACTCCATCTTTCTGCACTGAACAATCTACTACTGGTGGTTCTGAAAATGATTCACAGTAACCTCTTGAGAACGGCAGATGGCTTGCGTACAATTCACTTCATAAAACTTCTGCCTTGAAATTACAGTATCATATAAACGAATCATTGCAGTAACATTATTACTACAGAAATTACAGCATTGTATAAAGAAACGAATCATATAAAATTGAATGAGTCACGAAAACTAAGCGAAATAAGCAGAACGCATAACCTTGCTGCTGTTGATGAGCTTCAGTTTGTCCGAGCGTTTGGACACTTTTGGACCACGGCCGGTCAGTATTGCTGTCGGCTGCCACGGGTACAGCTAAAGTGGGCATAAAGGCTGGTGCGGTCGAAATTGAACATTCCGATGATGGAAAATCACACGCTAATATCTTCGCATTGAAAAGAAGACCAGACGGACAGTTCATTGATTGCGGTCGACTGTTTGAACAGTAAATGAATGTATTTGCACAGGGACGGCCGTAAACACCATCTCTTCGAGTTGAACAGTCAATCGGACCTACAATCGGAATGATTCACTACAACGCTGGTCATCAGATCTACTCTTAACGAAGATAATTAATACTTTCTAGGCAAAATGCTTCAGACTCTGCTTATAAGAATGCTTCGACCGAATGCATACACTGCATAAGAACACAATACACTGAAAGATCTTCTGTTGAATTCCATGAAAACAGATACAATGGTCAACTAGTGCAATAAACACAATTTCAAATGAGCAACCAAATTACCTGAGTCTATTGGCATTTGAGTGTTTGGCGGTAAGGTAGCTGAAGATTGGGCTACTGAATCGGCGTTAACTGGGGTATCCGTTGCGAACCCGCACTCAGATGAGGGTAGGTCACATACCTTACGATCAGAGTAAAAAACAAGGCCTGATGGACAGTGCTGAATGTGCGTAAGACCGTTTGAACAATGAACGAAGGCTGTAGCACAAGACGTGCCGTATATACCGTCAGCCAACGACTGACAATCTATCACACCTGAAAATTTACTGACTCATAATTATCATCGGCGTTGTAAATAATAACCAACGGCATTGCCACCATCACTGGATTTCAATCAGAATTATTTGCATTTTCATACCTGATGTTGGGGCAGTCGATTCGGGCACTGCTGGTTCTTGAGGAA